TGTGTGTGTGTGTGTGTGTGTGTGTGTGTGTGTGAGTGTGTGTGAGTGTGTGTGTGTGTGAGTGAGGGAAAGAACGGTTGGAGCACAGACGCAGTGTGAGGCACTTGACATTCAACACGCATGCACACACGCATGCAGACACATGTACGCACGAACACACACACACACACACGAACACGAACACACACACACACGCGCGCGCACACACACACACACGCACACACACGCATGCGCATTCATGCATCAACACTTGCAACGCACCATCATGCCGCAGGCGAGGGCGTGTGTCACATAGTAAGAAAGCGGCTGTGGCTTAGTTTCATCCAGAGTAGAGAAGGCCGGGAACGTCACAAGAAACATCATGGCATAGAACGCACTGCCGTACGCGTACATCACAAACGCATCCGGGTACACCTGCGAGCGTGCGAGCATTCAGGGAGAAGAAGCGGGGGAGGTAGAAAATGTTGTGGGAAGGGGGAGGGGAGGGTAAATGGATGGTGAGTGATGTGATGTGACATGACACAACTCGCTACACACAAGTGCGCACGCGAAGGGACAGGGAGGGAGAGAAACACATACACTCACAGAAACACACACACATGCACACACTCACTCACTCACTCACACTCACAGAAACACACACACATGCACACACACACACTCACTCACTCACTCACACACTCTCACTCACTCACTCACGCTCTCAGGCACATACACATGCTCTGACGCACGTAGTGGGGAAACGCTGAGATGCTCCAGGCCTCGAGAATGGCGGTGGTGTATGCCATTGCAAAGACAACAAGCCCGCGCCAGAGCAGGGAGCGGCGAGGGCTCCAGAAGTCGATTTTGCGCAGCAGCATCGTGGCCAGGGAGTGATACAGCAGGAAGTACACGTGCGTCAAAAAGTACATGACCTGTGGATGCATACAAACACACAAAGTGCGTGTTGTGGATTGCTTGAGTGGTGAGATCGAATTGAAAAGGAAGAGGTGATAGCACACGAGGAATGTACAACATGCACAAAGGCACACACACACACATTCACACACACACACACAACAAACAAACCATTGGCACGCCGTTAATCTCGTAGCCTCTGGGAATGGTGTAATGAGCACCCAGCACATTGTAGAAGTAGTGCTGAGGAGCATCAGAGAAAGCAAGAGACGTGTGAGTGTGTGTTTGTGTGTGTAATGTGTGTGTGAATGTGTGTGTGAATGTATGAGATTCCAAAGCCGCATCGAGTATGCATGCGACTTTGACGGTCGTGCTTGCGCGCACTGGGTTCATCACATGTGCAGTGCTACTGTACCGTGAGGAAGTGGTGTCCAATGAACGAAAACACTGCACACCAGACATTGGCCTTGAACCTGCAAAGGAGGCAATGGACAGTGAGAGTTGTGGTTGAGGGGGGGGGGGCTGAAATGCAAAGGCGCTGAGGGAATGTGCGCATGAACAGAGTACACAATGTTGCACAACACAACACAACACGACTACACATACACACACGCTTACACATACACACACGCTCACAGATAAACTACACATGCATACACACACGCTTTCACATACACACACGCTTTCACATACACACACGCTTACAAATAAACTACACATAAGCTTACACATACACACGCTTACGCACACACGCTTACGCATACACATACACAAACACGGACGCATACACACGCGCACCAGTAGCGTTCGGTGAGAGGGAGGGTGCGATCGTGTTTGGGCTGGAAGATGGCGGGCAGGATCCACGCTGGCAGGCCACACGCCACGCCAAACAGGAAGTAGTCGCGGGCGCTGAACTGGGCATAGAAGCCAAAGATGACCACGCAGGCCACCGCCGTGATCCACACGGGCGCGTACAGTAGGAACACGCGCTCCCCAAACGCCTTGCCCGGGTTGTTCACGGGGGTCCACGCTGTTGCCGCACGGGCCATCACTGCACGCGTGCTGTTTGTGGGTGGGATGTCACTGGGTCACTGGGTCAGTGGTCGCTGGGTTCGTGTGTGTTGTTTTGGAACTTCGTATTTTGTTTGTGTTTGTTGTTTGTTTGGATTTCAGCTCTGCTCCAATACTGACCGGCCCAAACAGCCAAACGCCCAAGCGAAGACGATGCACCGGTTGACGAGGGAGGAGGCGCGTGTGCTGGGGCATGCTGTGCCCGCGGCGCTGTTCCTTGCTGGGCTGTTCCATTGGGACTGGGCCATGTTCTACTCGTCATTGCTGTGGTCCTTCCTGTGGATCACGGCAGTGAACCTCGTCGTCTCTGGCGCCATGCACCTGTTTCTCCAAGGCACGACATGTCGCAAGCTGCAGGCCGATCGACGCAAGCAGCCGCCATCCAGAGGTAACAGAGAACCGCATGCGTACGTGTGTGTGCGCTGTGTGTGTGTGTGTGTGTGTGTGTGTGTGTGTGTGTGTGTATGCCTGTGTGCGCCTCTCCCCCTCTCCCTCTCCCTCTCCCTACCCCCTCCCACCTTTCCCACTCTCCCTCTCTCTCCTTCTCTCCCTCTCTCCACTGCAGACAGCCGTCAACTCCTCACACATACATACGAACTCCCCCCCCCTTGCCCCAACACGACGCACAGCAACAAAGGCTGGACCAACGTTCATGGATACGCGCGCCGCCGTCTTTGAGAGCACACGGGCGGCGTTCACAGCAGCGTGCCTCGTCGCGTGGCCTGTGGCGCAGATGCGCGCCGGCAAGCCAACCGCGTTCGCAGACACCGTTGAGGAGGCCAGCCCCTTTGGCTGGGCGCCGCTGTACTTTTTCAAGATCGCCGTCGGCATCCTCCTGGCTGACGCCCACACGTACTGGAAGCACCGGCTGCTGCACCACCCGTCGCTGTGGGCACTGCACCGCGTCCACCACCAGTTCAAGGACCCCAACACATTCGCAGGCTTTGCCATTCACCCCGTGGAAGCCCTGCTCACCTTCTTCCCCGTGCTGTTCGTGTGCCAGACCACCGTCAAGCTGTGGTGGAACTGGCACGTGCCTGCCGTGC